GCACGGGTGGGGGAAAGGAGGCGAGGAGGACAGGGGGCGAGGGGGGGGCAATGGATGGACGGACAGACGGACGGACGGACGGATGGACAGACAGATGGAAGGATGGATGGATGGATAGATGGACAGACAGAAGGATGGATGGACAGATGGACGGACAGGCAGATGGATGGATGGGTGGATGTATGGATGGATGGATGAACACAAGGACGGATGGACACACGGATGGGTGCACACCAGGATGGGTAGGTGTGTCCCCGCACCATCAGTTGGGTGGACAGGTGGATGGATGGACAGAGGGACGGACGGATGGACAGAGAGATGGAGATGTGGACAGAGGGACAGACAGACAGAGGGACAGACAGACAGAGGATGAGACACCGGACCCTTGCAGGCTGCACACAGACTGGCCGAGCAGGGTCAGCCACAGGTCCCCTCCCTGGCTCATGCTGCGGCTCTTCCCCCGGGGGCTGGACCCGCAGGGACCCCGGGAGCCCAGGCAGGGGCTGTGGTGGCGGTGCCACCCGCGGCGCTGCCCAGGGCGGTGGCAGTGTCCCCCCCCTGATCCAGCCGCAGGGATAATCCGCTTTGCCCGCGCAGGGACCAGATGGCCCCGCTAAGTGGGTCAGGCGGGAGCAGGGGACACCAGGGAGGCAAGGAGCCCCGTTTTGCTTCCTAATAGCTAAAAAAAATCATAATCAAGTGAAACAACATGGAAGAGAAAAGCCTGGAGATGGTGGAGCTGGGGGGACACGGCCCCCAGTGCCCGGGCTAGTGGTGGGATGGGGCTTGGTGCCACCACGGAGCATCCTGTGCTGATGGGGTGGAAGTATTGGAGAAAAGCAGCTCCTGTTCTGCAGCCTCCAGCATGAACTTGCCCAGCAAGAGGCCAACCAGCCAGGGTCCTCCTCCTCCCCTCACCCCCTGCCAGCCCATGACAGGTTATTTTGACCTCCTGGTCCCTGTGCCAGCCCAGGACTAGGACTCTGGGACACTGCCAGGCATGGTGCAGATTGGGGGATGCCTGAGCCCCTCACAGAGGGTGGGAAGGGGTCGAGGAGGCTCGTCCCCACGCGAGAAGGATCCCCCAGCCCACCAGCTGTCCTGAGAGCACCTGACGCTGCTGTCCCCACTGTCCCATTGTCCCCACTGGACCTGGAAGCCCTGCTGTCCACAGCATCCCCACTGTCCCCACTGGTCCCACAGGTCCCACTGTCTGGGTGGGCCCTTTGTACCCCATAGACCCTTCCCAAACCAGCCACAGCCTCAGCTCTTCACGTTCCCCAAACCCATCCCTGCCCAGAGCTGGGGAAGCATCCTCTCTGTCCCAGTGCCCATCTCACCACGGGAGCTGGGGCTTTGGGAGCACTGGGGGAGGCAGATCTTGGGGGTCGGGGCTGGCGAGATGGGTCTGGGGGAGCCTCGCACCCTGAGCAGGGCATCACCCCTGTGTGAAGTCTCCTCATGGCTCAGCCCATCCCTTCCTTCTTGCCCCAAAGGGGCCGGGATCTGGCCAGCACCCCTGCAATGGGGAAAAGGCACAGCGGAGCTGGACGCCCCCCCAGAACCCCTCACTGCTGGGGGAGGAATTGGCCAAGGGGGCAGGAAAACCTCCACACCCTGTGGCTTCTTCTTGCGTCGCCGCTGCCCGTCCTCTCCCAGCCCGGCGCTGCCGTGCCACGGCTAAAAATAAATCCAGCAATTTCTAGGAAAGTTCCTTGGAGAGAGCGAGGGAACGAACGGGAGCAAGCGTGGGCTGGGGGGAGCACACAGCCAGCACAGCCCGAGTGTGTGGGGTCCTGGGCACAGAGCAGGGGGGTCACTGAGACCCCCTGCCTGGCTGGAGGCAGCTCACGGCACTTGCAGCATCCCCAAATCTCAGGGGATTCACCATCCCACTCATCCCAGGTGAATGTTTTTCCCCAGAGCATCTGGATGGGGAAAAGTTGGGGGGGAGGCTGGGGCTGCTCATCCCTGGGGAGACCTCTTACTGCCAGGGAGGGGGAAGGATGTCAGGGGGCATCGTCACCAGTCCCAGGATGCGTGGGGCAGCCTGGGGGTCAGCTGGGGGGGGCAAATTTTTGGCAGGCACGAGAGCTAAAATAGCCACACAGGATATTTCTGCCCCAAAACCGGCTGTAAGAGGCATCAGCCCCCTCCCCTCCGCTGCAGGGCCCCCAGCACATAATTGGGGACAGCTTTGCTGAGCCGCTAAGCTCCCCTCTAAGCAGCTAAAGGCGAGTGGCTGGATTTCCAGCCAGAGCATCCCTCCGGCTGCTCACCCGGCCGGGAATACCGGGGAGGGGGGGAAGCGCTGCTGCCCACCCCGGTTCTGCCTCGCAGCACCCACAGACGTTACCTCCACCATCAGCAGAGATTAATTCCACCCTTGGCTCGGTGCTGCAGCCGGGATGGTGAGGATGCCGGGCGCAGGAGGAGCCTGGTCGCATTCGGATCCCAAAGGGAATTTGCAAAGGGTGGGGTGAGAGATGGATCTCCCAGGCAGGAGATAAACATGAGAGCTCCCATGGCCGGGTGGACAGCCCCGCTGCTGCCACTGGGCTGCACGTGACTGAATCCTGCCCAAAATTTAATTTCACATCCCAAAAGGAGGAGAACCCCCCGCGCCCTGGGCTGAGCCAGGGCCAGACCAGAGCCCTGGGAGTTGGGAAAAACCACTTCGGCTCTTCCCCAGCTCCAAGGCCAACCTGCTGCACCAGAGCATCACCAGAGCTGGGGTGAGTTGGGGAGAAACAGGGGTGTTTGTGGTAAGGGATGGCTCTGAGGGGCCGTGTTGGGCACCCACGGGGACAGGAGGTGCCCCCGGCACACACAATTCCCGCACAGCCCAGGGCAGAGGGACCGAGTGGCTCTCGCTGGAGCACGGGGACACTGAGGAAGGTGCTGAGCAACCCTGTCCCACCAGCGGGGGACACGGGGGACCTGCCCTGACGAGCCCTGTCTGACCCCCGAGTGTTCCCTGGCATCCATCCCACATCCCCTCCGACGGCCTCTGAGCATCTCCTGCTGTTCATCTTTTCCAGACAGGCAGGGAAGGCATCAGTCTCCAAGGGGTTCGGGATTCCCAAAACCTCCAAACACATTTCTCACCATCTCCAGCCCTCGCTGCCCCCCTCGCCAGGGCAGCCACCACCCGCAGCGTGCTCTGCCGTCACACACCAGGGGGTACTTCCACCTGAAGGGGTTTTGGTGAGGACTTTGTGGAGTAATTATGAGCAGCTTCAGAGCCACAACCGCTTCTGCCCCACAAGGCTCTTGGTCAGGACCAGAAACATCTGAACGAGGCTACACCGTGCCTTAAAATTCACCTCAGTCTTATTGCTGGGTGCCCCCCGGCTCAGATGAGCCCATCTCAGCCTCAGGCTGGTGGTGACATCCCTCCGAATTCTCTTTTCCAGGCGGTGAATGCCACCCTTCAGGGAGGGCTTTCTCCTCCGGTGACACTTTATTTCCCAGTCCCAAGTTGAGGTACCAGCGCCGGGGAGAAGAGAGACCAGGCAGGAAGCACGGGTGTGAAATACTGGCGTGTTTATTGGTTGGCACTAGATTACAGCCTACACTCTTGTCAAACTGGCATCCACGAATTTTATTTTATTTTTTTTTAAAATCCTTTAAAGACAGTGACGACCTCGCACACACCTCCAGCAGAGGAACCACGCTGCCCGCTGCCCTCCCTCAGCACAGCTGCACGCAGCCTCCACATCTGGCCCAAAAACACCCCCAGACCCTTTGCAGAAGAGGGACGAGGGGGGGTTGTCATGACACCAGAGCTGAGTGTGGCGTGGGCAGCGAGCCCCCCTCCCCACCGGCCTGTCTGGGGAACACCACGGATGAGAAGACCCAAGTGACGTAGGGATGGGCTCCACCTGCCAGCCCAGACCCAGCAGGAGCAGGAGAGCACCCGCGTTATTCACAGGTCGAGCAAAGATCTGACCTTCAACAGAAACAGAACGTGTTTTCTACTAATGCATTTGACTCCGACCAAACATGTCATAAGTAAGAATGAGTCCAAGTCGGTAAGAAAGAGAAAAAAGCATCAGCTGAAATGCTAGATTTCCAAAGTGCCCTTGCAGCTGTAAAGTGTTTTTGCGAACCGTTTCGACTTAATGTATCATAAAAAAAAAACAACCCCACGTGTTAACTCTACCAGAAGATTAGAAACACAAAGCGCTGGAGCGAGGAACAGGACTCTGCAGCCAGAAAAATAAACCAAAACAGATTACGGGAATTACAAGTCCAAAACCACCTAGAATTCACAGAGAATTGAGTATTTAACTTACTTACGATTCACTGAATAATCACGGAAAGCCTTAGGCTTCTTTCAATTCTAATAAATTAGCAAGTTTGCTCTCTACACCAGTTTTCCCTCCTCCAAACTCTGCCATTTCCATGGGAAAGGTGGGCAGCAGCAGCACCAGAGCCTCCACTGAGACATCCCAACGGACACCAGCCGGGCACAGAGGAGCAGGAAAGCCCAGGAGATCACTCACCGCTCTGCTGCTGCCATCGTCCTCCCCAGGCCTGGATGCTTGAACGACTCCAAAAAGTATCCACGAGGTTTGAAAAAAACCCCATTTTCCACAGGGACTGCTCCAAGCAGGAGAGGTCGGTACCTGGGTTGGTATCAAAGCCTTCTCCTTGGTCATGAGGGTGAGGCTGAGACACAACCAGGAGAGACGGCCAAAGCCCCACAGCTCTGGTCCTGGAGGTACCTCGGTGCCATGAGGAATGGAAAAGCCTAAGGCAGAGCCACTCGTACCCACGGACATCCAGGTGGTGCCATCAGCAGGACAATGTGCCCAGGTCTGTGTCCCGTCACCGGGCACACGCTCTGCCAGGCACTAGGATCCCGCTCTCTGGCTCGGGGGGGGTCTCGGGTACAAAGAGTTCATGAAAGGGCTGAACAGAAAATGCAAAGTGATCGTTCCAGATCTTCTGCTCTAATAAATAGAAAACAGGACATAGAGGAAGTTCTGCAAACACTCTTGGACCTCCCAGGATTAATGTGAGGCAATTCTAGAGCCAATTTCTCAAGTATAACTTCAAAATTCTCACTTTCCCACAAAAAAAAAGAAAAAAAAGAAAAAAAAACCCCAACCCTATCAACTAGCACCAAAAAGAGATTTTATACATCTCCTAAATACATCTTCAATCCAGTTAAGTGTTCTTTTTTCACCCCTCTACACCTCCCTCAGTTATGTACAGAGCTCATGACACTACACCCAGTAAAACACTACACGTATCTACACACCACCTTCCACCACTGAGGCCGAGTCCCCTCTTAACCGCGTTAAATTCATCCCAACACCAAGAAAAAGCGAGGAACGTCCATATGTCTGTGTGTTACAGCCTCTGACACCGAGCCAGGATGAGAGACACCAGAAGGAAGGTCACCCGCGTCCCCAGGCCGTGATGCAGCCACTAGATGATGCTGTCTTATTAAGCAGGGAGGAGAGAGCCAGGAGGAAAAACCCAGGGATTTAAAAGCAGGACCAGAGCAGGGGATGGATTCCACAAAGTTGTTGAGTATCTCTGTAAGGTAAGAGTTCTTCACACCAAAAAGCATCTGCAACAACTTCATTTCTTGGTACAAGTTTGGCTAAGACACTGATTTTGATCCTTTCCCAAGAACCAGCACCAGCTGCAGCTTCTACTCCAGGAAAGTTAAATATTCAAACCCATCTTTCACCCCCGTCTCCTTCGCACAGGTACAAAGATTGCATCCAGCTGTCTGAAAAGCACAAACGCATCCATTTGGGATAAAACAGCATTTTTGAGAACGAGGGAGAAAATCTGAAGTTGTTCTAACCCGGAGAGGCAAATACTCCATCTGGGCACCTTCAAATATTTTGCTTTTCTGGAGCAACCAGAGAGTTGCAAAACGGTGACTGCATTTTCTGCATGGAAAAGCTGAGGCAGAGGCCCAAAGTCCGGGCGAGATCTGGGAAGGGAACTGAGGATTCCTGACATTCCCTACCCACATTTTTAGCCACTGAATGCTTTGTGTGTCTGCACAAGGGAAAAAAGCAACACTAGCAGATTCCGATCCCTTGTCATTTTTCAGTTTGTAGAGTTTGCTTTAAGGCACATTCAGGACCACGCTGGATTCAACTCCCTTCTTGCTGCAGAGAAATTTGGGAAGTGCACACATCCATCTGCTGAGGAAAAAGCTGATGTGAACACTTAAATCGCAGTTTTTTTCTGGAATTGGAACCGGAAAGCAGTTCCTTTCCAGCCCCCAAACCAGAGCTCTTACCTTCCTCCGCAGCAGCGAGGCCGAAGGCCACCGTCGGAGGAGACGCAGCCCCCCAGGGGAGCAGGAGGTCGGACACACAACCCCCCCGGGGTCGGGCTCTGCTCCTTCCCCACCAGCACCACGCAGCCCTTTGACTTCACAGCAGCCTTAGAGCACACACCTGCCTTACCAAGAGGGAACCAAAGCACCCTGAGAAGGAACCGCGTCCCCCGAACGGAAGAAAAAGGAAATAAATCCCAACGGATGCATTTTTGGATGATGGAGAGACAGCAAGTGCCTTCACCTGCCCCGCGCCTTCCTCCGGCAAAGCGAGGCAGGAGATGGCATCCTTCACCTGAAATCCAAGAGTTTCTCGTAGTGTAACCTACACAGAAAAACTCAATTAGATCCCAGCAGGTTTTACTACCAAGGATGTGCACTCCCAAGTATTTCTTGCATCTCACCCTACTGATGGGGGGAAGAAATAACAAGATTGTAACAAGCCAGATGTGTTCTCCCCATCCAATCCCCGCAGCAGCTCAAAAAACCTCATTAGGAAGTGCTCTTCTGTTAAAGCCCATATTTTCATCCCCTTCTATTTTAATTACGATTACTGGCTAATGGAGTTTATCAGTAATACCACTCTAAGACGTCAGCTCTGTTTAACAGCATCAAACACAAATGAACTGACCATCTGCAACTTCTGAATTATCTTTTCGCTGCAGGTGATGCAACTGCCCCACTCCCTGAACACCTCAGCCCACACCCTCTTTTCGACAGACTCAAGATATTTCAGCTGTAAAACCACTCAGAGACCACAGGTCTTGTCCCGAGAGTCCAAAATCATGAGCAAGTAACATGTATCCCACGCAGCCATCATGTCCTGCCCCCTTCTCAGCCATCCCTGCCTCAAGTCCTGGAGGGCTCCTACAGTTCAAACTCTAATGTGTTTTTAACTAGGAAAAAAAATAAATCTCATTTTTAGCTTGCAAAGTAGCCATTAATTCAAAAGGAATGGTACACCTGGAGAGGGAAATGCCAAACCTGGAGAGGCAATGCCACTCGTACTTCTAAGAAGCCACCGCAGTTGCGAGGGAGGGTTCTCTGAGCTCTGCCCAACAGCCCTGGCTCACCCCAAGGGAGCACAAACCAGCTCGGCCAGTGCTGGTAAGAAGGAAAACCACTGTGCAGAGATAACAGAGGTACAAGCCCCCTCCTCCCCAGATTGGTAGCAATACCCAGTATCTGTCTAGACTTAAACAATCCATCTTTGTGAAGAAACCAAAAGACGTCTTTGTGAAGCAACCCGAAGTACTCCAACAGCCCAGAATGCCAGATTTCAGGGAGAATGGAAAAAAAAAAAACAACCCACCCTTCTTTCAGCCTTCTCTAGGCATCTCCAAGGAAAATGAGTCACCTCCCGGGCCCGGCAGTGTCACATCACACCCTCGCACAGCCAGGCACCAACACAGCAGCACACACAGCTGCGCGGCACAACTATCGAACGCTGTGAGGAAGTGTCACCAAACAGGAGATTACACACGTTACTAACTGAAGAAAGGTTTTTTTCCTTTGGGAAGCCTCAGCACGAGCAACGTCAAATTCAAAACCCCAAACCCATCTTAGAGTAACCACTTCAAGCCAAGGGTGCTGCACGTTTCCTACCGCACATGACTTCTGAGCTCCCGTTATCCAACGCATCGAAATCCCTGCTCCACCACACCAAAACCTGACCTGGAGAGACTTCCTAGAGCTCCATATGTTCCATTTCGGCTCCACTAAGTTTAATTACACTTGGAACTCTTCTGCAGAGGGACCTCTTTGAATTTCACACATCAGTTAGGATCCTCCAAAAGGTTTGGGATCTGACAAACCCCGCTGGAAGAATCCAGCAGCAGTTGCTGGAGACACTGGTGCCCCAGGGGTGTCTTCCCTTTCCTCCTGTTCCCATGCTGGAGCCAACAAATCCCAGTTTACCCACTACCCGGCATCAGCTCAAACCACCAGCTAACACTTTGCTGCCACAGCAGTAATCCAAACTGGCCTGTCAAACACTTCCAGTGACAGAGACCCAGATTTCTGTAAGTATTTTGAGGTTTAAAAGATCAGGAGGCTAAGCATGTTGAAGTGCTGAATGCACTTCTCCCATTAAGATCTCAAATACATTTAAAAATCCAGATGGCAGGATGCAACTCCGCTATACGAGGATTTTTTTTCTAATTTTGACAATACCAGAGGAAGTGAATGAATGTTGAAGGGTGGGAACCGCTCTGAGACCCTCCTGCGCCGAGCAGTGGGTCTCCCTCTTCTTCCATCGCTCAGTTTGGGACCCTGAGGTGACCCTGAGCTGCACAGAGAAATCCAGTGCTCGAGTCTTTCAAGGACCAAGAATTCTCCGCCTCTTCCTCACTGCAGGCAGACTTGCTTCTTGATGTACCAAGAGTGAGGTGATCTTGTACGTACCATGAATTCGTGTATGAAAAGCAGGAAGGGAAAAAGCAATCCTATTAGTGAAATGACTCTACCCCTAAATCGTCACAGAAGACACTGGAAGAAGACACCGAGACCCCTGGGCTCAGAGGTTTGCCAATAAGTAATTCATAGGAAGCTGAGCATCATCAACACGCCTGGCATTTATCCCTAATTGGGTTTCAGAGGACGAAGAGAAGCATCTGAAACCCACACCTTGAGGATGACTCGATGGATTTGCCGCAGACTCGGAGGATGTCTAAACGGAGCATCGTTATTCCTGGTTTATTTACAGAGAGGCCAGTGCCAAGCAAGATGGAAGCGCAGGTTGAAAGCCAACCTAAGGAGGTTATTCTTCAAGGGGAAGCTGAGACACATTGTCACCTTCGACTTAAAGGGTCAGGTGAGACACTACGTGGTTTGAGGTAAGAATCCCACTATCTCCAAGGCCGGCTCGATATAGCACCAGTTTTAGCAAGGGGGGGAGAGTCTGAGTCTGTTCCTGGGGAGGGGGGTCGCAGTTGGTCAGGAGAGCAGCCCCTCGCAGCGCCAGCACGCAGGCTCCAGTCCAGACCCCAGAGCACACATTATCCTCAAAACAACTCCTGTCACTAATAAAGGTAGTTTGATTGTCGGTCCCAAACCAATTTAACATCATTTTTTGGAGAAAAATCACCTAAACTGCCAGGGCACACAGCTGGATCGTTACCAGAGAGGAGCCTCAGATGCTGAGGGGGACGGGAACTGGTGTGGGGCAGGGAGAGATTCGGGCAGCACAGGACTAAGGCCCATTCTGAAATCTCTGGTAAATAAAGGCTATTTCTACCCCAGGAGCTATTTCCAGTTAAGAAGGCATAATATCGGCCACTGGATGTTACTGTGTTAACAGCATCAATTCATGCCACATTAAAACACTTTCTTGGCACAATTTATTTTTTTCTGACCCAAACAAATAAGCCATTAGCAAGTCATTAACAATATTCTACCCTAAATCGTCAGTTTAACAGCCCTGTAAAAACAATTTTTTAGTTTAAAAACAAAAGTGTGCATGCTGTCGATATTAAAACTGCAGTTACTCTTTCAGGAGTACCGGCTGTTTCGTCGCAAAGCATTTCCAACATACTAATCTGTACAGTAAAGACAAAAAACTCAATTGAAGGCAGTAGATGGCTGTGTTAGTGCCACTCACGGCTCGGTGACAGCGGACTGGCTGAATTTCTTGTAGGCTTCCAGATACAATATTCAAAGCCCTTTGTTTGTTTTTGAGAGTTTGGTTCAGGCCGATCAGCACAGAGTAAGAAAGTATCGTACATTCGGTCTCTCAGTTGAAGTGAACTGAACTGGTGTAATTTAGGCTCAATTCCAGCTGCTCGGTTTCAAGCTACTCCTTGAATAATGCCTCTCAGCTTTTCCTTACGCGTGGTTTTTCGTTGTTAGCCATCACTGGCACTGCTTTTGGCCTTGCTACTCCACGCTGATGAAAGCAGGGAGAACGAGTAAAGGAACAGAATAGGATCTTAAAATGAACAGCTTCTTGCCAAAGCAGCAAGGATACCATTCCCCCTCGTCCCAGGCTCCATGGATATTTCCAGCAGATTTTTATATTGTAAGCGCTTCTCGGGAAGAGAGAAAACTCCGGAACAGTGAGTATTTATTAGAATATTTTTTGTTAAATAAAGAGGAGGGGGAAAAAAAAAGAAAAAAAAAAAAAGAGAGAGAGTACTGCAGATTTAATTTCACATCTTGGCTATGCTCTGACAAAGGAGAAGTTACTGAATTCAGCAACTACTTCTTGTCCCAAGCCAGGGATTAATTAATGCCCCTCCCAAAACTTGTACCTGTCCCAACCCACTCCCCAGCCCCTACCCCTTCCCATTTTATTTCCCAACTAGACAACACTGTTGGCAAATCAAGACAGCATGAAACTTACATCAATAAAAACAACAAAAACAGGAAAAAAAAAAAAAGGAAATGTGCCAATGCATCAGGGGAACTATCCTATTAAACGGTGTATTTCTCCAGCCAGCAATTCTGCTCTGAATCAGCTGTACCTTTCACGGAGGGAGAGTTTAAACGTTTTGAGCATGCTCCATGGTGCAATTGTAAGTGCTGCAGAACCACAGGACAAGAGATCCAACACCTGAATTTCTCCCCCCGGACTTCCTTTCAGGGACACACACAGTTATCCAGCCCAGGGTTCGTGCAGTAACACTCAGCGAGTAGGATCCGATGCTTTAGCACAGATTACAAGTCTCCAGTTCAGCACGGTATAAGGCATGTGGACAAGAAGAGACATCAGCAGAACGCAGCAGGATCAGCACAACAGCATTGGTGATCGACGCTCCAGTTTGTCAGACTTTGACCCCACTTCGAATCCCTGATTCCTACCACAGACAAGGAAATTCAGTTTCTATCATAGCGTTTCTGAGGCTATTTATTTTTGGCCAAGTGCTAAAAGACCAACTCCTTTTTTCGTTTCGATGTCAATGCAGGAAACCTTGGCGGAAGCTGGAGGAGAAGCAGTGGAGCAGCAGGGATGTCTGCGGGGGATCAAAACTCTGCCCTCAACTTCAAGTGTCACTGCACTAAATCGGGAGATACTGAACGGGGAATAAACTGGCCCAGCCACTAGCACTGTCACAGAATGTGTATTTTTTTTAAAAAAAAAAAAAAAACAACAGAAAAAAAGGCAAACAGATGAATTATGAACCCTTCTTTTCAGAAGCAGACCAGGATTAAAAAAAAAAAAAAATTCCCGCAAAATTAAAACGTTAGATTCTCCATCTAAAAAAAGTTTATACATATGCGCTGAAAGTGACCACCACACAGGTCTGAACAGCACCTTACAGTACAGACTAAGACTTAAAAAGAGCTGATCTCACATTTGAAGTCTTTTAATTAAAAACAAAAAAAAAAGTGGCTATGGCTGGGATGACACGAACGGGACACTTCAGAACACAAGGCAGAGGCCAAACTGGCAGCCTCGCTCGCCAGGCCATGGAAGCGGTGTCACGGGAAAGGGGCACTTCATGCACAAAATGTATTTTACAAAATACATATCCAAAAAAAAGCAAAAAAAAAAAGCCAACAACAACAAAAAAAATAATAATAATCCCACCTTGCACTAAATTGCAGCACTCTCAACACTTGCTCTGCCACAGGCTGCTGCCCATGCCTTGTTTGATAAGAGGAGGCATGTGAAAAAAGGGGAGGGGAGGGAAATCCGTGTTTCAGTCTATTTTCAAAATTTTTCTCATGGGGACGTCTTCAGTCATCTGATGTCAGACACGGAGCTCTCAGAGTACGTCGTGGTCATGACAGGAGTGCCGTTGTTTGCCAAACAACCTTGCCTCAAGGTTTCAAAATACGAGGCCTGCACCGGTTTATGATACTGCAGAACTTTTATGGCATCTTCTATCTTAAACCATTCCCTTTTCCTTCCTGTGGGTAAAAAGGAAAAAAAATCAGTGTTATCCTCGCTATGTTTAAACATTCCTGTTGATTAGCACTCATTTCTTAGTCTTTCCACAAGCCTCTTTGTACACAGCCAGAGGAAAGTCACGTTACAGGTGCCACAGTGCCGCAGTTCACAACCCTCGTGCAGAACAACAGGTTCATTTTCACTTGGGAATCTGATTTAAATGCAAAGATTTCAAAAGATAATGGGGAATGATAAGCCACACTGCCCACATACATTTTCTTCTACTCTTAGAAAGGACAACTCTTCATGCTCTTTGCTCAGTATCTTCAAATGCAAGAATTTGCATAGGGCCACGAAAATTATCAAGGGTCATGAAAATGATCCAAGGGCTGCAGCACCTCTCCTCTGAGGACAGGCTGAGAGAGTTGAGGGCTGCAGAAGGCTCCGGGGAGACCTTGGAGACACTTCCAGTCCCTCAAGGGGCTCCAGGAGAGATGGGGAGGGACTCTGGATCAGGGAGGGGAGCCGTAGGAGGAGGGGGAAGGGTTTGACACTGAAAGAGGGAAGATGGAGCTGAGATGTGGGGAAGAACTTGTTTGGTGTGAGGGTGGTGAGAGCCTGGCCCAGGTTGCCCAGAGAAGCTGTGGCTGCCCCATCCCTGGAGGGGTTCAAGGCCAGGTTGGAGGGGGCTTGGACCAACCTGCTCTGGTGGGAGGTGTCCCTGCCCAGGGCAGGGGGGTTGGAACTCGATGATCTCTAAGGTCTTTTCCAACTCTAACCATTCTATGAATCTATTAATTAAATACCAAATTGCTGTAGAGGCAATGGCACAGCTGAACTGACTTCTGTTGGGCCACAGGGACACAAAAGCCATAATGTGACCACAATTTTTTTCCCCCAAGCAACCAAAGGACACACCACTGCAACTTTTCTCGAGCTGCAACTTTCCTTGACCGCCATCACAAGGATTCCAGCTCCCAGAGGGATGCTGATGTGTTTTTTCTGCATCAAACCAGCTAACGCTCACAAGCGCAGAGAGCTTACCGATATTGACAGAGTCCTCCCAGTCTTCCAACACTTCTGTGACAATAAGTACGTAAACATATGTCCTGTGTTTCCTGTCCCGATTCTAGAAGGCAAAGGGAAGAAAATAATGATAAAGATACCCAGGGAGCAAAGGCAGGCGGGCACGTGGTGACTGCAAGTGACATGGTGCCTCATTACGATGCTGCGGTACCTTGTGTGGGGTTTCTCTCACATTATAGCTCGTTCTCAGCTATTACAAATTGTGTTTTCAATGAGGGGTCTGAAAGTATTCATAGGGATTGCAGCCCAAAAGTCTATTTTGTAATCTATAAGGCAGTACTTGGTGGATGGATATGCTTATAAATCAGTTCCTCAGATAGAAAAAAACAGGCAGGAAAGATTTTTACCTACTTCACACAGCTCTGAAATAGTGGAAAAACAACTGTAAGAAGAGCTGTGCCTAGTACCTGCTGCTTGTGTGTCTCCCCAGCACTCCTCAGGTGGTCCCACACTCCTAAAAGCAGCCCACACACTCCACCACGTTGCAGGGGCCAGTTTGGCAACGGGTGGTGGCAGGTGCTAAAGAACAAAGGGGAGTTGCCGCTCCCCAGCTGGTGGGTGGCATTTCTGGCAGCAGGAAAGGTATGAAGGCACTGAGAACATTCACTGTGACTCTGGCTTATCACTCCTGAGCTCAGCTGAAGTGGAAATTGCAAGAAGATCAATATCACTGAAGGGATCAGCAGGCATTTTTATTTAAATGGGGAGTTTGAAGTTTTCCTTCAATCAAGTTCTCTAGTTCACTTCAGAACAAACTAGGAAGTGATTTTTACTCCAAGACAATTTTTTGTATCAAAATCTCACAGCCTCCGTGTCCAAAACTTACCTCAAAAATTCCCACTAATCTTCCTAACGTCCCTTTCACTCCAGCCTATGAAAAATTTAAAGAGAAAAAACACATGCTTTAACAACAGGTCAGTACACATTTCCTTATTTGTTATGCAGAAACAGTTCATTTAGAACAGGAAGCAAATGCCGTAAAATTCTGTTAATCTGAAAACAACATGGTCACAAGAAAGATGACACAAATGTATCACAAGCTCTAACCATACATGCATTCCCAGGAGGTTTTTTCTTTTCTATATTCAAAGCATTTTGGATTCAATCTGGAGGGAAAAAAATATTATTTGATGAGTTACTAATTGCATACCAATATACCCTGAACGACCAGAACCTCCTCTAAAGGTTCTCTGCATGGATAGAATTTGCTTTGGGTTTGGCAGTTTTACCTTTTTGAAATTATAGTTTAAGAAAATAACTTTAAAGTATAGATAGGACATCCACTTACACCATCAAAGCAAGATGACAGCCACCAGGTACCTCGGGGATGGCCTGCACACATTCAAAGCAAGCTCATATAAACATAAAATACTTTCAATGCTGTAACGTGGCCTCCGCAACAGGAACAAGATTAGTTCTGATATAACACAAAACGCAGACGCGCATTGAAAGACAACTTTTGAATCAAGCCCAGACACAAATCAAGGGGAGATCTAAGCAATAGTTTTGTCTTCTATTTGAATACTACCGAGGATCTACCCACTTGATCTCATCTGCTGTCACTTTTGATCCCTCCGCTCACCGCGGCGCAGTCGCTGTCTCCAAGCGCTGTTTCTCGCCTCTGCTTTGGGGAGTTTGCATCACGCGTGAATGCAAAACGCCAGCCCACTCTCCTGCCCCCAGACTCCCCCCCACTCCTTTTACAATAATTTACATTCCCTTCTTTTTTTTTTTTACGACTGTAAATGGATAGAACTCGAGTGCTACAGACAAGATGAGATTTTTTGCTCCACGACTGAATTGGTCTGAAACACCACACACAATCTGGCGCATGATCCTGCCATGTTTGGAAGGTAAATTTGGCTGCCGGCTCCGGCAGCTGGAACACATCCTAAACAGTTCAGGAAAATAGTGCCTCTGCTCTGGCAGACAAGATATAGAGATCTGATTATGTCAGGCTTTTTTATTTTAAAAAAGATGTTTGGGTGAGGACAATTACATGTGGAGATACACCGTTTCCCACTTGTTCGACTACTAACCCGTCGCTGTACGGTCATATGCTTTTAGAAAGGAAGCGCTTTCATTAATTAAAAGACTTTGATGTTTAAGTTCCCAGCCTACTAAATGAACACACAGATAGTAAATGATACAGCCAGGACACACCTCACTATTGCTTCTAACAACTGCCCCAAGAGAAAAGGATTTGTAGCTCCCCCTACGCTACGAGCATTCATGGAAATCTATAATTCCTCCCGTAACACACTCCCTGACCTCTGCTTCCAGAAAGGAGCTTTTCAACTGAACCTTTTACGTTGTTTTCGCATGCAAAATTTATTGTCACATCAGTATTTCTGACACTCTGCTCAGCCCAGAGGTGGACCACTGACTATTAACCACAAGGCTATTTCTGGAGTCAAACAGCAATTCCATGAAGGTCACCATAGGCGTGTGCGCAGCCCAGCGTGGCCGGGACAGATAACTGGGCCTGACCTTTGCGGGTGAGTGATTCTACCTCATCTGCAAAACTGCTGCTGCTAACCTGGTCTAATCTCTCTCAGAAGCCAACTGGAAGGCAAATACTTCAAATGAATTTCATTCAAAGAACTCCTTCAGCAGCCTCGATAGGTGGGCTTTTTTTTTTTTTTTTTTCAGATAAGCAACCATATCCATCAGCCAGCAGTAACACAGAGAGAACACGAGGCTTCCACCTTCACAACATACACACATATATATAAGTATATTATAAGGTGAAGAGTAATCAAATGATTCAGTTTAATAACTGTCTTAAGCCCATTTTCTTCACTTGCTCCTGGAGAAGGCTGTTGAATTTCTGCTGTCGTTACCCACCTGCAAAGGCACTGAATCAAAAGCCAGGGATGTTGTTGTGATGGTTTAGCAAACTCCCAAGCCTGACGAGAAACAAATTTATCTCCAGGCAACTAGCCAGCCTGGAAACTGAGCACGAATACTGCACAACCAGGCTCCCAAGCAGCTCATCCCAGCTCTAAAACTGTGCTTGAAGTAACACAGGCAGGTGAGGAGCCCTCCCTTCTGCTCCAGTTAAACAGAGAGGCGATGGAAATAACACTCTGCCTGCAAACCAGCATCATCCTTCGCCGTTCTCCCTAGTCTTATTCACCCAAAAAGGCACAAAAGGTGATGCTGAGACAAACATGCGCTGCAGGGAAACCACACTGAATTATCATTAGACAACTCAAAAAAACACTAAGTTTTTTTTTCACATATTAATTTATCACATGCAGTAGGAAATGGCGACATAAATTAATGGTTTGATTCAAAAAACGATTGGGTTGATAAAGAGAGTCCTTATGAAAGACTGCAAAGCACAACAACCGAAGGTGCTCTCATCCTGTTTTACTGGTGTAGTGGATTTTAGACACCACACAGGACATACAACGCAGAGGGACCGGATTGTTATACATGTATTTTTGATAAAGCACTTAAATCACACACAAATAGAAAAGTCACTGTCTCTGTACAATCAGGTACTTTGCTTAATTGAACAAACGTGGAAGTGGAATTCACAGTCTCACACAAGTTTCACAGAGTCATAGACTGGTTGTGGGTTGTGGGTTGGAAGGGACCTTAAAGCCCCCCCAGTGCCACCCCCTGCCCTGGGCAGGGACACCTCCCACCAGACCAGGTTGCTCCAAGCCCCCTCCAACCTGCCCTTGAACCCCTCCAGGGATGGGGCAGCCACAGCTTCTCTGGGCAACCTGGACCAGTGTCTCTCTACCCCCACAGCAAAGAATTTCTTCCTGAGATCTCATCTCAATCTACCCTCTTCAATAAGTTTCTAACACAGAACAACAACAAAGAAAATATGCTATAGCTGTTTCTCTAACAAAGCAAGCCAGATAACGGGACACAGAGCTGCCAGGCTCCTCTCTGGGCAAGCTCTGTACCTCTTGCTTTCCCACGGGCCAGCCCCTCGGCACCTTCCTGACTCATTTCCACTGCAGGACAATGAGCATTTTCTTGGAAAGTTAAAAGCAAAGTCACAGGCTCGTCCAGGATTGAAGCTGAATCTAAATCTTAATTTGCACCAGATGACTCGGGAATTTTCTCCTCGGTAATAAAATGAATTGAGTATCCTCCACCCTTGTGGGCCACAACAGTAAGTGTCTGGCAGAGCCAGCACAATTGATTTGGGCACGTGTTCCCCCCCAGCATCATAAGTGCTGCAATCCTCAAAATACACGCCTGTCTTAGGAGGATGCTATTAAACCCATCAACACGGGTAGGAGAGCACCAGCACCAACTGTTCCATCTGCAGGTGTGAAAATAAAGCATCAATCAAAGGACAGTATTCCCCCAGGAAGAGGCACACTCAGGTATAAAAGAGGACAGACAGAGCTTGCAAAATGAGCTTTTTTGTTTTTTTTTAAACTGCTCTGTAGATCCAAATCCGTTTCCAGCTCCCGAGGTAGCCCTCACTGGAGGAGAAGACAGATCTGGCAGGAGCACATCAGTGTCACAGCCACAGCCCCACACCAGCACCCGACTTCAAACCGCTGCCGCGCAGCCAGAGGGGTGGGCCAGGCACTCGGGACAAGGAACAGAAATCTGGGAGGAAATGAAGCTTTACTAGTTCTGCTGCTCATGGAACAACTTGTTTTAATAAAGAAAAATTACTGAAGACATCCAAGAACAGCAGGTTCAGGTTTCAAAGCTGAAAATAAGTTGGGGTCAGATGCAAAAAGCAGCCTGCAGCAACACCATCTGTTCCTAGGGACAGCTTTTATTTCCTTCCATCTGAGCTAAGGAAAATGTGGGTTGGAATTTCAGCTATTTTACTTTGCTCTATTCGGCTCAAAGCCTGCATCTACTACAGATTACTGCTGGGCAAGAGGACTGTGGTAAAACACCCGAATCTTTGTTCTAATACTCGCAGAACTGAAGGTAGTAAATCACACCCATAAAGAGTGCTAGCTCGGACAAGTTCTAAAGACACCAATTACAGACCTGCCAGGCAAATTTTCTTGCTGTCTCTACTGTGTCTCAGAGGGTTGTACCTATTCATCGAATTCTTTACTGCACTGCAATGTAAAAAAAAAAACCAACAACCACCAAGTAAAATGCTTTTACATTTGTGAAATGGAAATGCAATGCCATAACAAAGCGAAGAATTTTAAGACACTGCACTGATTTTTATGAAGTTAGAGTACACAGGGTAACAAACAGTAATCCACTTAGTCCCCAGTTTGCACTGAATATTACTAAATCTAGGAAGAGTTCAACACCATCGCTTCAGTCCTTGGTCCTTTCCTTATGCACAATCCTTTCCTTAAAAATAGTCTTCCTATTTTAGGGCTGAAAAAAATCAATATTCATATTCTAAATCACTAACAAAATGCATGAAACAGAAAAGATTATTTATAAAGAATGTTTAAGAGAGAAAAAAAAAAAGAAAAGAGGTCTAGCAACCAGATCAAAGTACTATCACGATGGACTATTTTTTATATTGGCATCAATTGCCTGTTTGATCACAGATCAAGCACAATTTATCCGGCTTTTGATTCCCATGAAGAAAGCAGGACTAACACTCCCATAATTGTATAGAAATTGACATTTACTAAGTATTTAAAGGTCAGGATGTGAATGATGCTGTAAGTGCAAAATGAAATGCCTTTGGGTTTAACAGATGAGTGTGGAGGCTTTTTTCAAAGTCACTCCATAATAAGTTTAATTTAAGGCATCTATTTCTAAAACATGTTCTTCACCAGTTGCTCACACCCATAAAAAAAAACGCTTATTCCTAACACAAAATTAATTTTGGGGAGAGAATGCAATAGCAAAAAAATCCAAGAATGAAGAAACAAAAATTATACTACAGTGGGGCTAGGGATTATTTTAAAAAGGCACAGCATTTTTTCAGACCCATAGAATGGTCAGAATTGAAAGGAACCTTAAAGATCATCGAGTTCCAACCCCACTGCCCTGGACCAGGTCCCTCCAAGCCCCCTCCAACCTGCCCTTGAGCCCCTCCAGGGATGGGGCAGCCACAGCTTCTCTGGGCAACCTGGGCCAGGCTCTCACCACCCTCACACCAAACAAGTTCTTCCCCACATCTCAGCTCCATCTCCCCTCTTTCAGGGTCAAACCCTTCCCCCTCCTCCTGGGCTCCCCTCCCTGATCCAGAGTCCCTCCCCACCTCTCCTGTAGCTCCCTTCAGATACTGGAAGGAGCCTTCTCTTCTCCAGGCTGAACACCCCCAACTCTCAGCCTGTCTTCACAGGAGAGGTGTCCCAGCTCTCTGATCGTTTTCGTGGCCCTCCACTGGACCCATTCCAACAGGTCCATGTGCTTCCTGTGTTGAGGACTCCAAAGCTGGACCTTAGAACGTACCTGGAGATTACAGCTGGGTAAGACTGACTACGCCATTTTTCAACATTCTGTCAGAAATAAGCGCTTTTATTCTGAAATGCTGCTCTCATTCAGAGCTAATGTGCTTGTCTACTGCTGCCATGCCTAAAAACAATGCCCAAGAACTCAAGTCACTTCAAATTTCATGTGGACAACAGCCAGCGTGACAAGTGTTGGTACCTGTCTACTTTAATACGTGTGTTAGTACAGATTAATATAGATAAGGACTATCTCAAACTAGGACAAGGACTTCTAACTCAAACCGGGACAGAAGGATCACCGGTTTCACGCAGAATCAACATTTCATTTGCAGTCTTCTAAATACTGAGAGTCAGAAAGAGAGGAGAAAGATTTCTTTATATGGCAGTTATTCCAGCAATGACATGGATAAACTCAGACACATACGTGGTGAAATTAAAACAGTGAATGCAGAAGCTAAAAATCTTAGTTTAGGGAAGCATATTTTAAAAAGCAAATGCATACCATGCAAAAAAGAATGAATTGAGAAAAAACAGCCTATTGTCATCTTCAAAGACCACAAGCAACTGAAAGGGTAATGAGCCTTTCCAGCTCTTCCAACTGTCTCTTATTAAAATGGAAAAGGCACACCACAGCAAAAGAAAGTCCACAAATTTCTTCCATAACTTTGACCAGCATGCAAACCACCTTCTTTTAGAATAAAAATTACTTTGTGTTCATCGACATGGAGGAAACTGGATGTTCCCCCTCCCAACACAAGCAGCAGACTCTACCTGCTCCACTGAGCACTGGCTCCCTTGTGAGGGACAGACGTGCCTGGCCCAGGAGAGGAGCAAAGACATCAAACCTTCTCAGAAATCAGCACCAGCTACAACCTACCTGAAAACACCTAGATTCACATGAAAAGATGAATGAGGGTTACTAGCCAGCATGGACACCATTTGCCCGGCAAGCAGCCTCCTAAAATACCTCCCCTGCCAAATCAATAGCACGAGCTGGGAAACTGGGGGCACTAAAGCCCCGTCCAGCGTTACCGCTGTAAATACAACCACCGCTCCCCTCCCGCACACACGTTCCCCAGCGAACAGCTCGTGGAGCTTAAGGCAGCTGATGTTCATTATAATTGTGTGTGTGGATCGTAAGCAGTGACTGGAACACAAACCTATCTGAGGAAGGTCTAAGAGCTCGCCTGTGTCTCCCCCCTCCCGTGTCAGTCAGCTCATCGTTAGCTGCAGAAGCGCTCAGGTAATTTTACACACAACAGGCTGCTCCTGTGAGCACGAGAGGGCTGTCAGGAAAGCCTTTATGGTAACAGCACCTGAGAGCTCCATTTCAGATTCCCACCCTGCCCTGGCATGGCCCACTCCCAGGTGTGGTGGAGACCAGCCCTTGGGGTGATCCTGCTGCTTTGGGAGCTCTGGATGTTGACTGTGGAGCGGGATTTGGGGAGATGGGTGCTTCTTCGCTGGGAATGACTCAACCCTGCCAGGCTGCCACAGTTTGAATTACATTCTCGTTCGGCACCGGCCCACGTGAGCGAGGGAACACCAGCTGAGCGAGAGGGGATTATCTCAGCCAGCCCAAACCAGTTCCTTCGCTGCAGACTGAGCCCGTGCCAAGGCTCCCTTTCAGCCACCGAGCTGTCACGGAAAGAGAGAGGCTCTTCCAAGGCGCTGCCCCAGAGAGGGAGGGTCGATACAGATTTCTTTTTAAGGATTTGAAAGGTGAAGCCACGCATCTCCTGAATGAACCCTTGACTTCTGTATCAGATCACTTAATTCTCAGTAACAATTGGGCTGTAAAGCAGGAGTCTGCAGCTAAAAATATTTCTATTGTTCTGGTTAAACTCACTTTGGCTTGTAATGTGTTTGAAAGATCGCCGAGTTACTAAAAAAGCAGGAGCTGCATAACAAGCTGGAAACAAAATTTGCCAGCAGCAATCCCCAGTCCTAGAGGGACCTACAGACGTTTTTTTTTAAAAATAAACGTTGACTGGATAATCTTTCATATCTTTCTTATTAACTGCTAGATTATAAAAACACCCAGAGAGAAACACACAACTCAGGAACTGCCACATTAGATCAGTCCAGAGGCCCAAGTATTCAGCATTTTGTTAGACAGCAGCAGGTATTTAGAGATACTTCAGAGAAAAACCTTCATACAGCAGATAATTAAATAAAGCAACTACCGGAGAAGCTCCCTCCCAAGTCCCATCAATTAGCTCTTGATTTCTGTTCTGTACCACAAAGATTTATAACCCTCTTGAAAGCATTTTTAATCCTGCCTTATGTAACTAACTGTGAACCTACTTGGTCATCCATATATAACCATTTAATCGTTTCTGAATCCAAACATCTCTCCAATTCGACAATATTCAGCAGTGAATTCTAAACACATGTTTTACATACAATGTAGTCAACTACCATTTGCTGTCTTTAAATTCCTTACGAAGAATAAAATTGTTCTTCCAGCTTTAAGAGAAAAATATGCCTTCTCCATACAGATCATCAATCTGTATTTGATCTGCTATTTGATTTCTTTCTGAAAGAGCTTCAAGTAAAAACAAACAAACACGAACACATTAGGAATTGTTGCTTTTAACTCCTATGATCAATTTCTCTCATTCACATAAAACTCAAAATATCACAGAATCACAATAAAATTCAAAATATGTACCAGACCAAACTGAGGTCCCTAGTTTGGAGTGTCATTAGTGGCTCACAGAGCCTTATTTCTGCTTTCTACCCAAGTATTAGACAGTTCTGCAAAAGCACAGCTGTTTTCCGATGTTCTCTTTAGGAAACTGTCCTTCTTACAGAGAAAACAAAACAGAGAATATCATCGCATGTATTGAAATGACTATAGCTTCATTTTATCTATTTTCAGTTAAAAGTATCAGGCGAGGAGAGGCTCATTCCGACTAAGAGCCTTAATTACATTCCTGTGCTATCTTTATTTAGGACTCTGGTTTCCCTCCCACATCTGATGTGGATATCGCCTGTGACCATATTCCCCTTCACTTTAAGGAAAACAAGCCAGAGTGATAAAAACAAATTCCCAGAGCCCTGGCTATGCATGGGCAGCAAAGCTCCAGTTCCTGTGAAACACTCACCTCTTCACAGACTTCTCGCACAGCGGCCACGTTGGGCTCCTCCTCGGGCTCCATGCCACCCCCAGGGACAATCCATCGGTCGGGATGACGACTGCTGCTAACCAGCAGCACCTGCGGAGAGGAGGGCAGAGCTGACGGACACACTCAAGGCAACGGTCCTTCCCAGAGCCCAGCGGCACAGGAGAAGTTGTCTTTGTATCTCTCACCCCTCCAAACACAACCAATCTAACATGAGTCCTTGAAAACACTCCAGTTTTTCCCAATTTCTTTAGTCCCTTTCAGGCAGCTGTGCAAACTCCATTATCAGTGACACCAAGGCACTCCAACACTCCAAATGATTTCAGTCATTACCTTCTCACCGCTCCAGCACATCACAGAATAAATCATGCCCCTGCATACCCAACCAACGATCTGCTATTTGATACAGCAGGACAATACTTACGCTGTCAGAGCTCACTGCTGTATGCAGGGACACCCCATGGTCCCCACAGCCTGGGATACACATTGTGCAACAACATAAGATGGCACAGAAGATGTTCAGCACCTTCACCCTTTGCAGAAGGGGCTGGATTTAACTTTATTGGTACCTTGGGCCTTTTTGCCTCTGCAGTGACACTAACGACATACACAAGGTGGGTAACTGGCCATTAAAATATTTATGTTCAATTGTTTTAACAAAGATTTTTAACTTCCCTGTTTGACTCTTCTTATGCAGGAGGCACCAAAGAGTTCTGCCCTGGAGCCAGCACTTGCTTGCTTTTGGTGTAGATGAAGTTTTAATGAGATATAAGCCAAATACAAGCCTACGCTAAACGACCTAAGGACCCAAGGAAAAGGCTTCATGGAAGGACAGACTTTTTTTGACTCAGGAAAATGATTCAACTGGTTCCACAGGAATCATTTTTCTTATGCCTGCTTTGTGGCAGTTTTTCTTGAAACATGTTTTATTCCAGTGTAATTCTGTTCCGTACAAGTTCAGGTTTTGTTTTGGCATCTTCTGGAAATAAAAAGCTAAACTGACAATCTCAACTGGCTAAAAATGTTCTCAAAGAATCCCAAGACACCATGCTTATTAAATCTACTTGCAATACCTCCACGAGCAGAGACGGAAACTAAAAACAAAACTAATACTGTTTTTTTCAGCTCTCTAAACAAAGCTTGTTCATTAGAGTTATCATGCTATACTTCATCATTTCACTGGCACAAAGCTTACAGCCAAAGCGACTTGCTCCAGAAACTTTCCAACATACCAGTCCAATTAGGTTACAGGCCAGCTGTAACAGTTTCAATCAGACATTCTGAAGTTAAACTGCGGGAGACACTAAAATCCCAGGCTTTACTGTCTAAATGTTGATTTACCAGTAGGATATGAAAAGATTTGCACTAATTACCAAGAGGAAACCTACCTACAGAATTCAAAATTAAACTTCTGAAACAAAAACAAGCATAAGAGTTCCAGGGTTTCCCCAGCTCTTTTATCTTTTGAAAATTCTCATCTGGCAACCAACCACCCTGCAAAGTGATCTTTCGTTTTCCAGGGCCACCCAGACCATGCCAGTTCAGCAAAGGGAAAAGAGAGGGGCCAACAGGCTAGACCACGCTGGGATGAGGAGATCAGGGTCCATTCTGGGGGTCCAAAGCACAGCTCTCAAACCCGGAGTAGCAAAAGCCTAAGGCAGAAACCAAAGAAGGGTCACAATAAACGTTTTGGCAACGGCTGGTCTAACCTTTCCTAAATCTGGAACTAAACTCGGTGTTCTCAAGTGTCAGCACTCCTCTAATCAGGAATTTTCTGTGGATCCCATCAATAATGATGTCCCAAAGCCTCCTATTCCTGCTTCGGTTCAGAACCCACATCTCAACCCTGCAATGCGTGAAGAAGCATCATTTATCAAACAACCCCATTTAAATCCCTGAGCACTCCCCAGTCTGTCTATTGAATTAAGGCAATTAAAATGCACACTAGAAATGAATTAAGCTGAATGGGCTACCTTAATTCTGCAGCTTCCTAATGGAGATGCTTACTGCCTTAGCTGTCTTCTGGCTAGGGCTGCAATGGAACAGCATTGTCTTTATAGTAACATCTCCCATGGTGTTTGGCCTTCTTCAAGAGGAAGTCAGAATTCCTTTCTCCCAAACATCCATTCCATATAAAACGCGATCCGTAAGCCATGCCTAATTAGGGAATGTAAACTTCCTTCATCCTCAGAGCCGTCAGGGCTGGGACCGCAGCCAGGTACCGTGGGCTGGAACCG